GTTGAGCGATCTGACCAGGCACCTCTCATCCTAAAGACGCCCGTGCTTGTACAGCTCTTGACTCYTGGTTTTAATGATGGATCCGCATTACCTGTTGTGGCAGCTTCAATATCCTCCTTCCTTCATTCTCCAACCTAAAGCTCTCTCCTTCGCAGCAGAGGGGGAAACGTCCGCTTTGAATCCTSCATGAAAGGCCCCATTGGAGCTCGGAAGGAAGTGTTTAGGTGYATATTTTATTAGCAAGAAGTTACTTTATTACAAGAAGTACTAGCAAAAYCCATGGTCTCCCACACAGGGTGTCTCGCTCAAAAGTCCCTTTGCCTGGGATTTCAGTCCCTGAAAGTCCCTGAGCGCTGAGGCCATTTCTGCAAGGCGCAGCCTGCGCTTAGACCTTCGTTGTTGCTCAYTTAGCTCGGCGGAGCACAGCTCCTGTTTCAAGTGGCAAAAGGTGGGCACCAATATTGCCTGTTTTTAGTTAGTCTGTAGGGATTTTTTAATCCTCTTTAAGCAAGTCCTGGGGAGGTGCTGGGTGAAGGTGGCACAGGGCGCTCCAGGCTGCGCGCTGAGCCCTGCCGTCGTGGTTGGGTGACAGAGGGTCTGCAAAGGGCAAGCTGCAGGCGCTGCTGCTGTGGGTTCCCTGGCCTCCCCTTCTCCCTGGGTCAAGTTCTCAAGGTATTTACTTGGAAATGATTATTTAAAATAAAAAGAATCCATTTGGTACCTGTGTAGGTGTGAGTGCAGATAAGGGTTTTTTTTTCTCTCTTTACTTGATGTGGTCTCACAGGGAGCAACTTAGATGTCAGAAGCCTCAAAAAAATGTTTAATAGTCTTTCTGCGCCTCCTGAGAAGATTTTGGGGGGTTTCCTGCAGGACAGGAGAAGCAGGAAGMAGTTATCCCCTGTTCAGCATCACGGCTCTGGTCTGTGAGATTGCAGGGTACAACAAATTGCTGCCCATCTTCACTTGTTAAGCAAACGCAGGTGGGAATCCCGGAGCGAGGCCGTGGTGGGAAGGCCGAAGCACTGCAGCAAATGCAGCAGCTCCGAGGCAGCTGTGAGCGCAGGGACACGGTGATCCCGGGAGCGAAGCGGCACCGGGCACCAGGCCGCGTTTCGCAAGAGTGAAAACGGCTGTGGCTCGGGCACAGATAACTCGCCTTCTGCATGGGGAGTAGTGCTCCCTTCAGATAGTGTATTAGACTGTATCCTGCCATTTGCTCCTCCAATTTTCTTCACTTGGCTTGGAAGGGAAGTGAATAGTTTGAATACCAGCGTATTCAAACTGTTATTGTAGGAGAACTTGGGGTATACAGGCACAAATGCCAAATATTTTAGTGTTTAGTAATTTTTCTCTCCCRACATGTAGGAATGTTTCAGATGATTCAACAACAGAAAGGATTTTCCTAGCAGGAGTGTGCGATCAGGATTTTAACAACTGGAAAATACGTTATCCGCACTAAGGCGCCTCTGTTATCTAGGACARTCCCAGACTATCTGAATTGCAAACTTCAGCTGCAACAACTTGRTTATATCGGAGGGAAAAGGACTGCTGAGTAAGGGTGGCAGGGAAGTGCTGAAGCAGTGAGAGGTGAGGATAAAGCCCAAAGCACCCAAGTCCCCGTTATTAACGCGGCAGAGGCAGCCTGGCTGTGTGCAGGGGGGGAGGAGCCCATGCCAGCCCGAGGAAAACAAGCTCTCAGGACGCTGCAGTATGTTCTTACGAGCCTGAGCACAAAAAGAACCGAGAAGAGSCGGCAGCAGGACATTACGCTCTTCGTGTTGCCCAGGCTTCGTCTCGGGGGCTGTTAGCAAGGCACTCGCAGTCGTGCCCAGGTGCCTCCATGCAAGTGAAGAAGCCTGGGCTCCTGCGCTCGGCTGCCATTCCAGGGCCAGCCCCTTTCCCGCATGAGCCTGGAACGTGCCAGAGAGCTTTTGGAAGGTCCTTTTGTGAATGCAGGAACATGCAGGAAGGCCCTGGCAYGTGAGCACTTGGGCAGAAGTGGTTAAAAAAGAACAGCTCACGCTGACTGGGAGGTGTCTTGGCCTGTCAGGCCTATGGGGCAGGAGTGTGTGTGGTAGGAGGCCTGGGGCCCTCACCCCGCTTGGGGAATTAAGCCCCACTGCAAGCACATGCGTAACTTCACACTCGTGACGTGTGAAGCAGCACCTGATGCCTTTGCTGCCCTTCTCCCCTGGCCTTGCTTGTCTGCTGCTGCCCTTCCTCATGCCCTGCCCAGCCAGGGCCAGTCTGCCGCAGGGCAGCACAGACACGCTCCCTTAYGGGTGTGAGATTTGCTACACGGTCCCCTTGCTCTCGGTGCTCAGTTGCCTTCAGCCCAAGGAAGAGCTGCACCCCTSTCTCTGCACTCGCCTTCTCTCTTGCTCTTGCCAAGCCGAGTTTCCCCRGAGCAAATTCTTTCAACTTGCCAACTTCCTTTTCTCCGCTTGTTGTCTTCTCGGAGCCAAGGGCTGCGCTTTTGTTTCCTCCCTCCCTTCTGTGGCTGGGTGCTTGCTAACTTTTCATAAAGGTGTGATGTTAACAGACCTGGAGGTAGCTCCTGGCTTGGCTTCCTTCTGACTGCTTTCATCTCCCTTTCTGCACCCTTTTCTTGTACTCACAGTCTTTTTAGTTGACGGCCTCTCTGTTCTCTCAGCCTAAAAATCACCTGGTCCAAAGAAGTTTTCTGACCGATAAACTGTTCCTTCTTCTTTTTGACTAATTCGTGCTGTTGTSCCCTAATTCTGCAGGCAGGAATCTTAGGTGAACATCTGTCACAGGTTGTGCCTTGTGCAACATGTTTGGGGAAGGGAACGGGCTGCACTGGGGTGCAGAGCAGGGTGGCTCAGCTGCCTGCTCGGAAAAGCTCCTGACGGTCACAACTTCAAGCTCTGCTGTCCCTGAGGCTGCTGCCTGTAGTGGCCTCTGCTTGAGACCCATGGCCCTGTTGCTCTCCATCGATCAGGTGCCTGGAGCTCCTTGCAAAACCCTCTAACTGATAATGGGAAGAGAGTAAAGGGAGAGGAAGGTGACCCAAGCCCTCCAGCTATGCGTGCGGGCAGCCTCTCCCACGGTTGCCCCCCAAGCCCAAGGAAGCTTGGATCTCGGGGGAGGAGGGTGCCCTTGGGGCCCGTATGGCTCCACGCCCTCCTGTGCCCTGCCCGTCACTGTAAAGCAGCCTCCTGCTCCTGCCACTAGCGCTACCGCCTTCCCCTCAGCTTCGCGAGTGCTGTTAACCTCTGCATTAGCAGCCCCCAGAAAGGGGAGCTCCGTGTATCCCGTGCACGYCCTGCTTCCTTCTCGCTCTTCGGAAGTTTCAGAAGCAGTTAGAGGGGAGCCGTGTGGAAAATTAACGGCCCCATGTACAAAACCTGTAATTGCTGCAAGTGGTGAGGAGGAGGTGGCCGCACTCGGCCCTGGTGTCATWAAGTGCCTCGTTCTGTGGCCGCTCCTCCTCCGTGCAGACAGTGCGTGGGCCCCGTGCTGTACGGGCGCGAGGGGCGGCGATGGCAGCCGGTTAGCGCAGCTCCCSCCGCGGCAGCGTCCCCCAGGCGGTGGCTGCTCCTGTCACAGGGCCCAGWCACCTGAGGGGAGCGCGGCCGCCTGAGGCGCCTTCGCCTTCCTGGCAGGGCAGCAGCCCTTCAGAATAGCCCTCCTGCCACTGCACTTTAAGCAATCCAGAAAAAAACAAGCACTAGGGTGGGTGAGCCRAGGAAGCCCCTGGGCTTGATGTATTTATAGGGGGGTATTTGTACAGTCAGGGGGCCAGCAGGAGACTGGCGCTGACCAGGAGCGCAGGAGAGCTTGGCTGTTCTGATAGCGGCGTGGGCAGTGGGCGCAGGGCGCGTGCAGATCCTCTCTGCTTTCTCCCTGGCTCCGCTGTGCAGGGCGGGGAGGCTGCAGTTCACCCCTTTCCTAGGCGAGTTGTGGCCTGAACACAGTTAAACAGGAGCAGAGAGCCGGCCAGGAGCTTGCCTGGGAGCTGCGGCCAGCTGGCAGCACCAGCTGCAGCTGGGGCAAAGAGGGAGGCTCCTGCATGTGGAAGCTCCTCAGCTCCTGCCGGGTTTGGCACCTCCGCACCTCCCTGGGGACACAGGAGGTGCCAGGGACACTGGGTCCCCTGCTGCCACGCATGGAGGACGGGCGTCCCGGCTGGTGTGTCAGCTGCCTGAGCAGCCTGTACCTTATAAAGCAACCGCCTCCCTGGAACCCCCTGCCCTGATCCATCGCGCTTTCCTCGCACCTACTCCTGTTTATCGAGAATAAAAAGAGCGGCCAAGTCTGTGAGTTCCTTTCTCTAAAGCAACGTAGCAGCCCCAGCGCTGCTGCCTTTGCAGAGGAGCGTGACAGGGCCTTGCCTCACATGGAGAGGGGCTGTGGCCCTGGGGGTGGCCACCCCAGGCACCTCCTAAAGCCCTGGAGGTGATGGTTCTTTAGCCCAGCCACAGCAGAAGGTCTTTCCTACCGTCCTGATGAGGACGCGTTTGCTGAATAGTGAATTTCTACCTGTGTTTGCAGCCAGAGTTTCAGCACGTTGCAGAGTGAGAGCTCTGCCCGGAGCCAAGGAGAGATTTCTAACTGGAAGCTGCTTGTTTGGACGGCTTCTCCTTGAAAGAGCTGCTGTAAAAGCCCTCCCCAAACTGCCCACGACGCATCGTGGAAGCAGTCTGGCTGCAAATAGGTAAAGGAAGGTGATCCCGCTGAGAAGGTGTGAAATTGGCTCCCCYGCTGCTATTTCTTTTCTACTTTTTAGAGGCAATTGTGGTGCTGTTCTGGCAGCACAKCGCATAAACCAAGCGGCTCTTCCCAAACCCCGAGGGCAGGCCGCAGACGGGCAGCGTCCCTCGCACGTCGCTCTCGTGCTCGTCGCTCCGYGGGCCGCGTCCCCGCCGGCGAGCCGGGCGCGTCTCCGGGCAGCCCTGCAGGAACGCGGCTCCGTGCCACACACCAGCGCAAAGCGGCGACCTACCACAACTTTTATTGGAATTAGACATTCACATTTCTCCATTGATGTGGGTGGCTTGTACACTGTCAAGTAATAACGTTACATAGTTCTGCTCTTGTATGTGCATTGATTTCAGCCATCAAAGGAAATTATAGAACTAACAATGAACAACTTTTCCATAGCTCTAGAGTCAGGCTGGGAAAAATTATGTGACTTTTCCTCGCCCTCCGGCCACCGAATTCCCCTGACTTTTAGGGTTTTCTTTTTGAAGTAATTGCTAATACAACTTAATCTTTTCAAACTGTTTCCTACGTGTCTCTAGGAAGGAAACTGGCATTAGCTGCTGCTGCTGCTCGCTTGCTCTCGCTTTTACAGGAGCTGCTTGAGGCGCGCGGACAGCGGCTGCTCGGCAGTGCTCCCTCCTAGCGCGCTTGGGCAATATAATTTTTCTTAGCCTGCTGATCTGAAAGCATTTGAGGGTCGTCAMAAACCAACTGCAGCGCTTTACAGTTTACAGACTTTTGCCAAACCTTTTCCATGTAACGAAAACAGTTCAGAAATGACAAAAATGCCGCAACCAATTAGCACGTACAAACATTTATTTTGAAATTTCCATTCTAACCGTTATGAAGAATTACATCATCAAAGCACTTTATGGCAGTGAAAATAGCTCTTACCCCTCTGACTCATCCGTTATTCCATTAAAGCTGCAAAATGTGCAATCTGCTTGAAAAATAGGTTGCTTTTTATTCAGTTATTTTCATGAAAAGTCAAAATTCGATAACAAAAACCGAAAGAAAAACGCCCAGCTTACAGGCAATCTACATCTGATCCTCTCCCCCTTCCCCAAAAAATAACTTACAAAGATAGTTTAAAGTTTTAAATGAGTTTAAAACCAAGTGCATCTTTTTAATTATTTTTTTTCCATAATAATCTTAAAATTCTAAAAACCCATAATTTACTTTCTTGGAAAAAAGGCAGCAAGCCGTTGCTTTTTGATTGGAAGAATATGTATTTCTGGCGAGTTCATTTTCTTTAACTTTACACTCCTGTTTTTTACGGGTTTCCTAAGAGCTTCGGCGTTGTCCCGTGGCTCCGGCTGGTTCTTCACGTCGTAGCACTGCAGCACCGAGTCCTGGGGCATGTCCCTTTTGAAGGAAAAGTTTTTAGTGGATACTCCCGAGAGGCCTTTGATCTTGCCGCAGAAGATGGTGGGCACGGCGTCTTTGACGGACACGATCACTTTGGCCGTCTGCGACGTGCTCACTATCTCGATGTTATTGCCGCCCTTGGGCTCGCAGGCCGCTCGGCCCGCCTGCTCCACCAGCCACTTCTGCTGCTGCCGCAGGAGCTCCGCGGAGCCGCTGGCCGGGCCCCTGCCCTCGGCCTTGCCCGGGCTCTCGTGCGGTTTCGAGGGGGCGAAGGGGGCGGGCGCGCTGGAGAGCTTGTCCAGCGCGGTGTGCGCGGCGCCGTCCAGCACGGGGCCCGGGCAGGCGGTGCCGGCGGCCTCGGCCAGGCCCGCGCTGCCGCCCGCCTTGCGGCACGACGCCAGCGACAGGTCCAGCGCGCCGTCGTCTGGCGGTGCCGGCGGGATGGGCTCACCGGCCCGCGGCGCCGGCGCCGCTTTCATGGAGAGGTCCAGGGCCTCGTTCTCGTTGCTCATCTTGATGACCGTGTGGCGGCTGAGCTGGGAAAACTCCCGCTGGTGGATGAAGTCGAAAGGCTTCGATTCTTCTTTCTCCAGGGGCGTCTGGGTGCCCTTGCAGGAATGCGGGGTGAACAGCGGCGGTTTGGGGTAGTCCGAGGCCACCTTGGCTTCGGCGCCATGCGGCACGGGGATGGGGATGGGAATGGGGATGGGCACGGGCACGGGCAGGGGCACAATCACAGGATAGGGCACGAGCAGGGTGGCCGGCGGCACCAGCGGCGAGAGCGGCGAGCTGAAGGCCTGTGGCGGGAGGGACGCGTAGTCGGGGGGCGGCTGGCAGGGGCCCGAGCCCAGGGTGCCCTGCGAGGGGAACAGGTCCTGCAGGACGGCGGCGAAGCCGGGCGTCTGAAACACGGGCGGCAGGACGGGCTCCGGGGCTTGGCTCGCCGGCTTCGGGTCCAGCAGCTGCGGCTGCCCCACGGGGGCCGAGGAGCCCTGGAAGAGGCCGCCGTGGAGGGGGCCGGTGGCGCAGGGGGCGCCCGGGGGCAGCACCAGGGGCGAGTTCAAGTGCTGGAAGACGTGCTGCTCCAGGAGCAGGGGCAGCGGCACGGGGCCCTGGCTCGTCATGACGTAGGGCGTGCTGCCGCCGGGCGCCAGCTGCGGCGCCGCGCTGCCCGCCACCTGCAGGTGGATGGGCAGCACCACGGGGCTGTCGCCCAGGCAGATGGGCTGCAGCACCGTGGCGGCCACCTTGAGCGCCACGCCGCCGCTCTGCGGCTCGGCGGGCGGCGTGAGCATGGAGGGCGCGGGCACCGTGACGAGCGGCGAGAGCGCCTTCTTCATCAGGTCCGTGGAGTTGATGTTCCAGGCCTCGGCCGTGATGAGCTGCGCCACCCCGTTCTCCAGCTTGTTGTTGGCCATGGTCGGCGGCGAGCTTGTCACGTCCAGGGGCAGGTTTTGGCCGTCCTTGTAGAGCTCCTCCATTTCGCAGGGCTCGTGAGGCTCCGCAGGCTCCACGTTTACATCGCTGTCACCAGGGCCCACAGGGGCTCCGCGCTGCCAGAAGCATCCGCACAGGCATAATTTGGCCTGCAAAACAGAAACACGTTTCAGGCACTGCATAAATCTCCTCCTTAAAATAATATTTGCAATAGCCTTTAAAGAGCCCATCGCCGAAGAAAACCTGTGCAATGTTTCCACACTTGAGGGTAGCGGCTCTGCGGTACCACACGGTATATACAGGCGCACGCTGCATATACACACAGCGGTGAGTGTTGCGTGAAGGGTTCTCAGGGCCTTGTTTTAGCCGTAAGCGCAGGTAATGCCACGAGACCGGAGAGCGGCCTGCAGTGACGGGGCAGCCCCTCTGCGGCACGCGGTGGCCGTGTGGGGCTGCCGCCCGGGCCGCCTGCTTCATGTCTGCACACACGAGGGCTCCGCGTGAGGGCCGGGGCAGCCGGTGGGAGGCGGGCGCCGCTTCACAGAATCACAGAATATTCAGGGTTGGAAGGGACCTCTGCAGATCATCTAGTCCAACCTTCCCGCTCCAGCAGGCACACCTACAGCATGTGGCACAGGGCGGCATCCAGGCAGGTTGGGAAGACCTCCAGAGAAGGAGACTCCACAACCTCCCTGGGCAGCCTGTGCCAGGGCTCTGGCACCCTAACAGTGAAGAAGTTCTTCCTCACCTGGAGATGGAACCTCCTGTGTTTCAGCTTATGGCCATTTCCCCTTGTCCTATCRCTGGCAMCCAGTGAAAASAGCTTGTCCCCTTCTTCCCTGCATTCTCCCTTCCTGAACTTATRCATGTTAATCAGATCCCCTCTCAGCCTTCTCTTCTCCAGAGAAAACAGGCCCAGCTCACTCAGTCTCTCCTCGTACGAGAGATGTTCCATTCCCTTAATCATCTTAGTTGCTCAGTTGCTTGCTTAGTTGCTTAACTCAGTAGGAGCAGCACAAAAACAACCGCGCCCCCAAAGAGACGCCCAGGGAGATCCCGAGCGGCTCCAGCTGCCCRTGCCCCAGGACCGGCAGCCCCGTCTTGCCCTCGCGCAGGGTGACGCGACCGGTGCCCGYGCGCTTTCCCAGCACCTCCGCAAGCGCCGCCGCACACGGGGTGACAGAGGAGCCGCCGGCACCTCCAGCAACGCCGCCRCTCTGCCCTGCCCGCGGCGAGGAAACCAGCCCAAGGAATCACAAAAACGCCACCCCCAACCACCTGCCCAACGCTCGCCCTGCTCCTAAGCCAGATACGGGCACACATATGAGGCACACACTTGATTAATAAAAATCAAAGCAACTTCAAATTCACTTTGACAGCCTAATCCTTTATCTTAACTGGGCAAATGCTAGTTGAGAAAAACAAAAATAAGGGGCCGAGACGTCGGTTGGGCAGCTCTGTGAAACACCCAGCCTGGTTCCCACCAGGATCAGCCCCCTCCCCTGYGGAGCAACTCCGGGGAGGCCGATGGAGGCGCCTTCCTCTACCTAGCAGGGTGGGTAACTCCATGCAGTGCCCTGCGCGAGGGCCCTGCGGAGGTGGCAGCGCATCCTGCTCCTGCGGCAGCCATTGCCATGGAAACGTGGCCCTCTCCAGCTCTGTCTCCACAAGGAAGTACCAGGGCCCCCCCTCAAACTGGCATTTTTTCCCCTGAGCGCGCACCCAAAGGCGCCGGCCCCAAAGGGCACATGGGGCCCTGCAGGGAGCCCGCGCCGGCACCGCAGCCCTCGGGGACGGAACCAGCGTGCCGGGAGCGGCCAGCGCGGGCAACGGCACCGCGGGGCCCGGAGCTGCGGCTGCTCAGCGTGCGGCACCAGTAACTCACMRRAGCCTCCCGATTTKTTTTTYAATTTATTTTTTTAAAGGATTTTTAAAAGTAAACACATTAGTCATTTATTTTCCACTACTGCCACCAGCCTGAAGAGAATAACTCACATTTTTTTCTCCTCCTCTGAAATGTTTTGAAGAATATACCCAAAAACAGGGGCTCGAGGGGGTTTGTGTCCTTGCTCGGCTCTGGCCCAAGCAGCGGCACAGCGGGCCAGGGGCTCCCAAGCCTCCCAAGCACAGAAAACAGCAGGAAATAAATCACTTCTTTCGAAGGTGACAAGCAGTTGAGGCAAAAATAAAATAAAATAAAATAAAATAAAATAAAATAAAATAAAATAAAATAAAATAGCTCATCTTCCTTTGAAGAATAAGGAGCAAAAGCTTCTAAAAATAAAGACAATGAGGGGAACTCTCAGCTGATTCAAGTTAAAAAAAAAATAAATGCTGGCATTTCTGCTTATGAATTAAAAAGCCGTTTTTATACTTCTCACACACCCTCCCTCTCTTTTTAAAAGACTCCCCATTTTAATATCCTCCTGTGCCTGCAGCCTGCCTGTGCATCTTCACCCCGCTTGGTTCTGCAGCACTGGAGGATATTTTGCAAATTAGATCATCGGGGATCTAATTTGGGGTTAATYCCAATCTAACTGGAATTTCTTTTTTTCCTGATTGTTTGAAAAGCGTGAGATCWCTCGTGTTTTCACAGAAAATTAATGATCTAGTACGGACAGGAAATGACCTTCTATTCCCACAATAAACTCATTTTAACACTGAGAAAAATTCAGATGAAAATTTTGCCGCGTAAGAGACTTGAGGGCTCAGCACRCCGGAAGCGGCGCCGCCACGGCCGGCTCCCCATCCTCATAGGAGGGGACGCTGGGGAGATCCAGGCCACGTCCGGACGTGGCTGCTCCGCGAGGTACTTGTCRCTCCTGTGCTCCCTGTTCTGTTCTGCGCCTACCAGCGGCAGGCGCCCAGAGCCCAAGCCAAGGAGAAGACAAACTGCAATGCCAGTATTAACAGTCAGGGCTCTTACTGCTGTATTTCTGCATTTCTRCGTTAATAAAAATCAACCAGGAGTATTTGCTGCACTTTTCTTTATCATAGAGATTGTTGCTTCACTGCACATTAAATTACCCAGTTTTTGTGTATCTATTCCAGACAGATGAATACAACATAACTTACTGAAAATGCCTTAAATTTCCTCTACCACCCCTCCGTGTCTGAAAACCAATTAATTTCACTTTCCCCACTTACCTCTTTAATATTTAATCTATTATTAGCTCTAATTGAATACAAGTGCACGGCGCTGAGTAGCGACCCGTTGTGAGTGACGTTGCTTTTCCCTCGGGGGTGGTGGTAGGAATTAAGTTCACGGCACTAGGCAGTGACGCGCGTGACTATCCAGGCAATGGCGTGTATGTGGGGTGCCATTAAAAGGCCGGTGAGGATTCCTGCCCTTCCTTGCAGCTCCTGCTGCAGGCTCTACACCGAACTCATGCCCTGAGCTTCCCCCCAGGCCCTGGCACTGGTCTCACCCGCCGGGGCCAGGCTCAGCTCTGTGCCTGGTTCACGAACAAGCAGGCGGGCAGCCRGAGGATGCCGGCTGACCCACTGGATCAACAACTCACTTCCCAAATTTCCTATCCATTCATCCATTTAAAGCACCTGAGATCGGCAGTTCTGGCGTACTCCTCGGCTCACTAATAACTCTGAAAACAACCTTTTCGTGTAGCCGACTCACTAGTAACATTAAAATAACTGTTTCCCTTCCCTGTGCCACTGGCAACGCCGTGTTCAGCACTGCCTCGCGGTGCCCGGGCAAGTTGCTTTCCCTGCTGCGGCAGGCTGGCAGATGGACCCCAAACTCGGCCCCGGCACCTCTGGCTACAGGGCTGGATGTCACCACAGCTTGCTTAGGGTCTTCAGGGCACCTCCAGGGCACTGCAGAAACCGCCCCCACCATCCCCAGCACCTCAGGGGCAGGACTGAGGCGGCACCGCTCGGAAGGAAGGTGCGACGTGCGCGACAGGCAGAACTTACCTAGCGCTGCCCGGAGCGGGGAGCGAGGGCTCTGCTGTGGCGGCCCCTCACGTGTCAGAGCCACACGCGCGTCACCTCTGCTCCCCGTGCCACTGCGCGATGCCCGCACTCACCGCACAACCTACGCTGAGGTGGTTCCCATTACACGGAAGCTACGATATGTGAGATGGCTGCTGCTGAGGGGCAGTAAAATGGGAGCATCTCCTTGGACAGCCTCAGAAGCTGCCGTGGGAATGAGGACCCCTTAACGCAACMGGTTCACTTTCGTATTCCCAGCATCGCGGCGACATGGATCCTTGCAGGAGGCAAACCCATTTGTGCCGAGGCTCCCATCCAGGCCATTAATCCCCAGGGGAAAGGAAATCATTAGGGCAGCACGAACTGGCACATACAGCGGGGGCATGGACAGCACGTACACGCTGCTCAGGCACAAAGGCTGAGCGCTGTTCAGCGCTGCAGCTGGACCCGCCGATCGTACCTCACACCGGGGTGACTGGCCCGGCACACAGGCTGATCGCCTGCAAGAGCTGCCTTGCAGTAATAACCATATCACTGTTGTCAGCAGCCCGTAGTTCACAATCCATTCTGGGGAGGGGAGAACTCACTTTCTTCTCATTTAAAAACAAATCAGGCCAATTTGAAAAAAAAAAAACCCTGTCATCCTGTCACAGATCTGAAAACGGTGTCTTTACTCCCAAGGGCAAAATATACATGGCAGACAATAAATGCAGGGGAAGGAACCAAGCACTCGCCTGATGAATTTCCACCTGTAGTGAATTTTTATACGCAGTCTGAAAACCCTGCACAGACYACGTTTCCAGGGGACGCTGTGAAACACACCTGGTGCTACAGAGGAGCTGACGCCGCCGCATCCTCCCTCCCTCCCGCTGCTCCGTTCACYGCCAGCGCTCCTACCTGCACGAGGCAGCCAAGGGAAGCTCTCCCAGCAGCCGCRGCCCACGCGGTCTGGGGTACCTCACACAAAAAAGTGCTACAGAAACACCGCAACTTTGAAATGATTGCAGGTTAATCCTGTTACTCCCAAACGCCCAGGTTTCCTGTTTCTGCAGCACCTCCCAGCTCCTGCTGCTTCTAGGTGGGCTGGGAAGGACCTTGCCGCGACTACACCTTGACCTGCGTGGTTTTCACACGTGTGGTCGTGCCCACGGGTTCACTTTTCCATCGAGCTCACAGGAGGACTCTTGCTARCAC